CTTGTGTTTCTTCGGGGGTAATAAAAGGGTTTTTTTTCCACTTTACCGCCCGTGGAAACGCCCTTTTTGCGTACCCGGGAGGCCGTGGGAGCGCCCGTTGTCACCCCCCGGTGTCTCGTCGCGAAATGAGTGGAGTTTGGGCAGAGAGGGGGTGAGAAACCCCTAGTCCTGGAACCGAACGGACCTTGAGAGAGCGAAAGTTTTGTTTTTCTTCATAAATTAGAAATTCTCTTTTAAAATTAAGGTGAGACAGGAAACGCAGTGTTAATCTTCAGAGGGTCTTCTTCACACTGGAGAAGAAAGCGAGCAGTTAGAATCTCATTCTTTTAAATAAAATGGTTTCAAAGGCAGTCAGGTAGCACAGGCTCCCACAAGCTGCGCCTCTGCTGCTCTTGCCGACGTTTATAGCTCTGGCTGCTGCGAAACACTCACTCAGGGATTTTTTCCCCCCTTACTTCCCAAGCTAAAATTTCTAGAGGCTACTCGTGAAATAAGAGACAGCGTATGTTTTATTTACCTCAGAATGTGATACTTTCTCTGCAACTTTGTTGCTGTTAACCCAGCAAAAGGGTCCCTAATGTTAATGGCATAAATAGGGACACAAAGACCAAAGCAGAAACGGTTTGTGTGGAATCACTGAGCTTCATGTCAGTCTCTGGCATACAGACACAGAGCACACTCTAAATAAAGTACACAGGGCTATTTCTGTAAAATCTGTTAGCATGATTCAGTAACATGGAAGAAAATTGGCAGAGATCGAGTCTGCAAGAAATGTGAAAGCACCACTTTATTCATGTTTTGATGCCAAGCTAGGAAGACAAATCGCACACTTTTTGCTCACTGCTCTTTTGCCAGGTTACAGATCAAGTCACAGCAGCTCCTCTATATAAAACCTTTGGCTGCAACACAAAATGATGCAAAGCTGTTTATCCACAATGTGGTGACGTAGCATGGACACCACCTTATTAGCTAAAACTTTGTATATATTTCTGTGTCTCTGGCAGGAGAACATAATTCATTTAACCTGAAGTTTAACAGCTGTCACCCAGTTTAGCACTGTCGTATTGCTGCGTTTCTACCTGAACTATACAAACTGCATTTGCACAGTTTACATACAGTGCTGACCAGATGATCAACTTCACTATTTCAACAAGATGCAGGATCTCTTAAGTGGAAAAATATCACCTCACTCCCCTCTCTCATTCCAGTACAGGGAAGAAAAATAAAACTCTTGAAGATTTTGGGTGACTCTTCATCTTCAATTAATTCACAAAGTCCCATTCTATAAAATTTTGTATAGGTAGTTTAACCTTTTCTTGTATCCTTTTGGTAAAAAGGACTTCAGGAAAATAAATATGTTCTTCTCTCCCACTTATGTTTTCTTTTTATCTCTTCCTCATCATTGAGGTCTTGTGGCTGAGAAGATATCCTTGAGGCTGGGAGGGCAAATAAGATGGTACATTCAGCAAATCTGAATCTGTTGGAAGCGAGATGGTTTATCGACCGATATTCATTAGGAATTTTACAAAGGCAAGAGAACTTGACTGTAAGACCGATTTACTTCATGTAGTAACAGCGGGCATGAAGAACTGAATAGTCAAATGATTATCATCTCCTAAAGTTTCCTGAAATCAGGTGGATGGCTGTATGTCTCCTCCATCCCAGCTAGGTCTGGGAAGAGCCCTGGTGTCCTTTAAAAACTGAACTTGTTACAATGTCTGTAAGCTGAAACTTTTTATACTTACCTACTCTTCTAACGCTGCCAATGTCAATACTGAGCTTGGGACAGAAGCCTTTCTACCTCACAGTAAAGCATTTTCCCCCATTCTCTACAGGTCTTACTTTGCAAGAGTAATAATGCAGCACAATAGCACATTTTCCTCTAATCTGTAATTTGATATTCTCAGGACCATTCTCCTTGCACAGACGCAGTTAGATGGAATACAGACGCATGTCTAAATCCTGTATAGCAGTGATAACTGCAAACCAAATCATCTCCAGAGGAAAAGCCTCTCAGTATGTGCCAGAGCAACACTACAGCACATTGTTGTGGTCCTTGCCTTACTCCACTTCTGAGGCTATCAATCTCCATCAAATGTTAAACGTCCATTTTGCAACTTGAAGCTATTTTTTCTAATTATTTTAAGTGCTTTCACTTATTTGATTTTCCACTTCTGTGTTTACTCCATTATTCCCTTCCCTTACTGTTAAGAAGACAATATATTCTCATGACCATCTCACAAGCAAGCGGTCAAGCCACGTGTATTAGGGGGAGGATGCAGAGGTACCAGAGAAAAATCAAGACATACAAGGAGAGCTGAATGCAGTCTCAGTACTGAATACACAAGGACTGTGTTTCGCCCTCCTCCCCCAAATACTGCTATTCCTTGTGTAATTAGCAGCACAAAAAGCCTGAAGTTACACACCAGAAGTCATTAGTCTAGCCACAATCAAGCTTCACTAGGATATATGGAAGTAGTACATATTTCCCTGCAATGCAGGCACAAAAAAAAGCAGATAGGGAGGACACTCGGTAGGAGAGATTCTCCCTCCCTCTTATGCATTTGCCACTACAACTACCCCAAATTTTGCTGTCTCACCTTAGAAGAGGTGAACCATCAAGAACAATGGGACCTCAGTGGTATTTCATGCTCGATCTCTAGATGCTCTGTTGGCATGGGCAGAGATATCTGGTCAAGTAAGGAAGATCTGCCAGAAAATCCTACAGAAAGTTTTTGCTACTGCTATCAGTGTAAGCCAGCTCATACTGTAGGGCTAGATCTGAAAGCCTCCTTAGAGCGCTTCCCAGTCAGCATGGAAAGTATAGATTGTTATAACCACTAACATATGCCTCCTAACTTGAAAATATACATAGAAAGATCCTGAATTATTAGTTTTGTTTCTCCTTTACTAACTGATAGCTTTGACTCCTCTCACTTCCCTTCTTCAACCACCAGCGACGCACAGTGCCCAAATACAACCTGCAACCCCTCCACTTTCTGCAGAGAAGCCAGGGAGGTGAGCTGCCACCTCACAAAAGCAAGCTCACAGTGGCCCACCACAGGCGGACAAATGCCCTTGAGGGAGAAGAGATCGGTCCCTCTCCTCCTCTTGCTGAAGGGCAGGGACTGAAGATGACGATCCCTGCACTTTTCCTAGAGGCCACTGGGATGCAGAGTCTACAAAGGAAAGGAGCAGATGGACACAGAGGTGTGGAGCAAGCATGAGCCACAAGAACCTGTATGCATGCAGGAGTGGCATACTTCAGTCTGGCAGCTTACTCCAGGGTTGTCCTCTGGAGCAGTCCTCCCAACCCGTGTGGATGTGTCCTCTAACCAGGAATGGAACAGGAATAGTGAATGGGAGACCTCATATGGCAAGGAGATGGGCTACAAAATAATCTGGGAAAGGTATTTTAGCAGCTAAACTAAATACATAGCCATGAGTAGTCGGTGGGGAAATAGAGAAGAGATTGCCTTCCACACAAGCATCTCTTCTGCATAGTGCTTGTACGGACTGTGATCCTGATGTGAGCATGAATCGGAAGATAAGATTTTTTTTACAGAATCTTCCTTGAAAATAATTTTTTGGGCATTTCAGAGAAGACTCTCCTCCTGTCACCCCAACAATTTCCAGCTGCCAGCTAAGCATCTTCCAGCAGTGAGAAGCAAAGTGTAAAGTGGAGCCTGTTCTGGGTCGCCCCCAGTGACAACAGGGTTTATCTTGGCTCCATCCAACCTAGGAGATACAAACAGCTTTACTGTCCTCTAAAAGTCTTGTCTTAGGCCCAGCCCAGTTATACCCAAAAGCCAGGTCTCTCTTTACTGTTTTCTGTTTTGGGTGGGTTAGACAAAATCAAAGAGTAGGTAAGGAAATACCTTTTTTAAAAAAATTATTTTTGTTTGTTTGCTTGCTTTGTTTGGTTTTGAAGTGGGCTGGGTTTGTTTGTATTACTGGACTGGTAAAAAATAGGCACTACCTGATCTTTTCAAGGGCTGCATTTGATCAAACACTACCAGAGAGGTTTACTACTCCCCCAAGCCTGTGTACCTCCCAGAAAGATGCCATTTTAAGAAAGTATTTTTTAAAACTACATGTATTTGCAAACAATGGGGTTACTGAACCATGCCCTGCCTTATGGCTTCTGCTAATTATACAGGGCACATCTGCAGATGCAGGGAAGCACATTCTCTCACAGGTTTCCTTTCTTCCCTCCCATGTCCCTGTCATTTGTTCAGGAGGGTGCAGGAAGTGGGCTGAATCCACCCGGGCCAAGAGCATCTGCTGACCATCCCTGTAGTCTTGTGAAATTGCTTCAGGGACACCGGGCAGCAAAGCACTCAGGCCCAGCACATATGAACTAGGAGCCTGGGAGAAATGCCAAGGTCCCGGCCCCATCACGTCCTGGCTCTGCAGCTGACCAGTTTCCCTTCTTCTGGAAGCACAGGCTCCCAGGCCCCACGGGAGTGGTGGCTTCTCTTGCCAGCTTTTCCATTAACAGATTCAGTACCATGCCTGAAAGATGCCCTCAGGTCCTTCATGAGACTACCACCCCCTCTTCATAAATTTCCCTTCAAAGAGGTTTATATTGCTGACAGCTATTCTTTCTGATCAGGTCTGAGTAACGTGTAATAAGTGATTTCTGAGGCCCCCACACCAGATTATGCCTTAATGTTAATGCTAACAAAGGTATAAAAAGATCTGCCTAGCCTGTCTGGTGAGGAAGCATTTCCCTTTCTCCCTCCCTCTAAGGACACTGGCAATAGGACAAAATGTGTCTGATTATTTTTCCTAACTCTAGAATGTTACAAAGAGGAATCACCTTGCAGCTATCATATTTTAAGAATGGAAGACCTGACCTTAAAATAAAAGTCCTGGCTTGACAAAAATAGTAATGATTTGAATTGGGTACTTTTTTTTCAGTTCAGACTCAGCCATTTAAAACTGAATCTTTGTCTCCCTGG